TTAATAAAATCAATGTACAAAAAATTGCCAACTCACATATCATCCATAATGTCAAATTTGATGTACGCCAAGCAAAACTGTAAAGCCATATAGAAGAGAATTTCCACTTCTCATCACCTTTCACAAGTTCAGCACAAGAATATGATGATTCCAGTGCAGAGCATTAAAGTAGACACTTTTTAACTTTCTTCGTTAATATTGTGAAGTCGATCCAACCAAACAAGCCATTATAAAGCAACAGATTATCGAGCTTCTTGGCATGAGATTTGAGTTCAAAAGGTAAAAATAAACTGAAAAATAAAAAGCTGTTTATTGATACACTGATTCAGGCCTAAACATGACAAATCCAAAACTGATACCAACAACATATACGTCTAATATGTAATTCCAGCTTTGATGGGGGCCGCACAAAACAAATGCTGAAACCCCTAGTCTTTACATCACAACAGAGTTAGATTTAAATACCAATTATGTAATGAATTAATTATCCCGCATACTGCAACTACACAACTGCCAAATTGTTGATGAAAAATATAATATTTCCAACTCACACTACCTATCCCAAATTACCCTCTAGGACCCAAAATATGATGTTCACAGATGATGGAAGCCAATGCTAGACCCAGCATCAAGGCCATTTGATATCCGTTACAAATTACGCGATTGACAAGAATATCAACTAAGAATGAATGCATCATAAATAATGTCTATATGTTCAACCCAAATGAGACATAAAAGCTGAATGTCTTGTGGTGAAACAGGCAGTTGGAAAACAAAAAATTCGATAAATACCAGTAGCCAAACCAAGAACTAATCTATTTGCCCTCAACAGAATTACAGATTCGACGAAAGAAGCCTACTGAAAATTTCTAACTGTCATAATTCACCAAATCCAAAGATTACAGAGAAAAAAAGGGTGAAAAGGAGGTGAATCTATTCTACTGTTTTACAGTGTAACTAGTTAAACTTTAGACACTGTTCCAAGCAAATGCCGATTCACTTGGCACAAGAAATATAGCAAATTGTGTAAATAAGAATGAGCATTAAAATGTTTTAAGAGTTTCAACAAATGTTGTATACCTATTGCAAAATTCTGGGTGAATACATACTTCAAACAAAATTTATCACTGCAACCCTGCTAGAATTGTCCATCTCCCATAGCATATGGGCTATAACTTGACTAATAGATGCATGATGAATTTGAGACCATTAGCTGATATAGGCATCAAAGCAAGACTGAACAATTATAAGAAGATACAATTTGCTGCAGATACATGTCTTCAACCGTGTAGGCATCACCAACCTTGTCCAAAGCACGTATATGGCCGTTACTTCTGCATCAAGTGTTTACCACATCAGAACGACTGGCAGAATCCTACAGGAATATTTTTTATAGTTTCCAGGATTTGGTAACTAGTTCTATGAAAAGGAAAGGCAAAAAACCCCTTAGGTAACTCTTCACGAAGTACAATAGCAATTATAATTTAGAAAGACACTAATGGGTAGAGGGAGAACTTGAAAGGTATATATATAATGAGATAGTGAAGAATCTTAAAATTTAAAGCAGGGCGCCTCTCCGACGATACTTGAGGGGAGGTCTCTGTAGTTTGCTAAAATTAATGTAGTATTCACCAGATAAGCAGTTTCCTAGTACACTTCAACCTAAGTGTGTAAGTCATACAAGGGATAAACATGATTGATGACAACATTTAAAAAATGATACCTTCAAAGGAAAATAAAAACTGTCTTTTGCATAACTTTACCAAGTAGTCTTCCTCATATTTGGTTCAGTTTCGCACGTAGATGATACCTGTTAACTTCTCCGCTTCAAACTGGATACTAAATTACATCACCTTATACCATAACTAAATAAAACTTGGGGATTCAAATTTGAATATAAGATGAGCCATTTAAAACATTTATCTTTCACCTGATTTTTAAAGGTCTATTTGCCTTCATACAACTAAACTGCATACAAGAACATCATATGCAGCAGGAAAAACACACGATAACTAATGAAGACCATACACGTGCAGATCAACAAGAAAGATTGTATAGTGACATCCCACCAGATTCATGTAGACATACTTCCATACAGTATCTTACCATAGGGTAAACTGATAATAATGTCACTATTTCTTGTTTCTTGTAGAGCATAGATATCGAAGCATATACTCATTTGAAGAACATGTATCAGCCAAATCTTGATGCAATCTAGTAATTGCCTTTTGCAATGATTTCAGAGCAGGAAGCAGATTTCTAGAATTCTGCTGAATAGAATGGCCATGGGCTTTGCTGAGCTCCTGCCAAACAAATAGAACAATCAAAACCCAAGACAATTTTCATCCAGGAGTCTAAACTTATATGCACCTAACCCAACTAAAAATATAGGTTGGAAGAGTTGTAGAAATATAACCTGGCACCAACGTAGAATAAACTCCAAATGTGGACAATTCTCCATGAGTTCTGCAAGTGCCTCTATTAATCTCTGCAAATATTTTAAAGGGACCGATGAAGCTACAGCTGGTATATCTGCTGGAGCGACAGTGATAATACATTTCCTTATTAGAGTATCTTCATTCAAGCGCAGACTAAGGATTAAAGCTCTTTTTGGTTGATAGTCTCTTAGAGCTGCATCAACTGCCTGCTCAACACGGTAAAATATAGATACAGACACATGTAAGCATGTCTTAGATGCACACCAAACATGCTAAAGCACATAATGGAAATGAAACATTAGAAGTCCTGTTTTTGTTACATTTATTTTCTAATTAAACCACCACCAGGGTGGAGTAATTATTCATATACCTTTTTATTACTTCATTTTACATAATATAACTGAAACAGTGTTCAATAGAACTTTATATCCAGGAAAAGAATCTATGATGCTCACCTCTGGTGTAACATCTATATCAAGATCAGTGGGATCAAACATAAAAGACTCATCCATAGAATACACTAAAACTCCTTCTGTGGTCGCAGCTGCCCAACTCCGGCCAGTCGGTGCAATTCTCAGGCACTTTGTTCGAATAACTGGCCTTCCATGGTTAGGCTTTGATCCTGGCAAATCATATGCCAATTTGTTTTGTGTTTGCTTGTCCACACCTTCCTCCCCATCACTTCTATCATCATCAATCAAATCCATTGGACCTGCTTCTGTCATATTCTTTGAGTTTAAGAAGTCAAGAACCCCATCTAGTGAGAGATTATGGGTTATCTGGAATCTTCGCAGCAGTACCTGAAATTATTAGTAAAATAGTCTTAAGTATTGCTTCACAAAGTAATATAGGGAATTGCAATAACAAGATCATCTTCAGATCAACTTTCGTTCTAAGCAAAAGCTCAATGCACAAGATGGAGAGATTAGCCAGAAAATTACAAAACAGTTAAGCATGCAGGTTTTGAAAACGACATTTGAGAATATGTTTCCAAGGACAAACCCATCTCAACTTACTTTCCATAAATAAAGAGAGAAAACCTAGCAAAGTTGGTTCCATTACATGTCAAAATTAAAGGTTTCAAATGTGAAGTTTAGTGGTGTGCTCCCTGCCCTTGGTCAAGGTGTAAACAAAGTCGCAGAGCACTCTGGATAGTCAAACATCCTGTGAGGCATTCGGATGTTATCACACGGCACATGCCCAGGCTGCTCAGGCATAGTTCTTTCATGCTTAGCCAAAGGGTCAACTCCCTACTGATAAACAAACATAACCTAGACCTCAGTCTATTCTGCACACACACTCTCTTACTCTCATGCCTCTCTCTTTTGTTTTTGTTTTTCTTTTTTTTCCTCTTGTTTCTATGCTCAATTTTGGAGTTTTTCAAGTTTCAGGTGATTAGAAAGGTATTTCAATATGAATAATTTATTTTTATTCAATTAAATTAAGCTATTTATGTCAAGGGATTTTTTCATGACAATGTCTTGAGATTTTCCCTCTTTCCTTCTAGTATAGAATTTTTGAATTTTCGATGAACATACAATTATTTAATTATATAGTGCAATGTTTTCCTGTATTTGTTTTCCTAAACGTGTAGACTTATAGCATGTCGAATAACTTGTGATTAGATTGATTAACTATGTGGCACTACTGCTATTTTGTAGTAGTTTTTGAAGGTTAATTAATTGATATTCAAATACTATCGTTCATCTTTACAGAATTTGCTTTTTGTTTAATATTTCGTTTCATAATCTTTTTGTGTTTTAATTTTCCCCCATTTTCATGATATGATAGCCAAATCAATAATGAGGTGTTTTTTTTCTTGGATCAGATATATTTTGGGTAATTATAGCTGATATTTTTAACTATCTCTAATTTTCTTATTGCTAATCTAATGGCTACATATTACTTTGGATATACAGGATAATACTCATGAGATTGCCTTTAAGCTGCAAAGAATATAATAAAATACAGTAAATTGATTAGTTTGACAACGAGCAAGAGTAGAGAGCATGTGCGTGTACTCAAACTAACCTGGTCAGCAACATCGTACATACAAATGTATTTGCTACTTCCACCAGCCAATATGTAGCTCCCATCAGCAGAATAACACAAGGTTGTGAAGCACTTGCTGGCAGTTGAGTTAGCAGCTGACCTGCGATCAGTCATGAGACGTCCACCAGCAATGTCTCTACGGCCTTCAATTGTATACATCTCCAAGCCTTGTAGTGGATCCCAAAAATGAATTTGCCCATCAAGTGTGCTACAAGCCAGCTGTTTGCCATCTGGGCGGTAAACAACTGTAAGGACATCATGCGTGTGATCAAATTTTTCAACACCACCTCTTCCTTCAAAAAGGTCCCACAGGCGAACAGTTTTATCCCAAGAAGAGGAAGCTAAAATAGCCTGCAGATTTAAAGCAGAAAACCATCTATAGTGATTAATGTGACTATATCTTTTAAACTCCAAAGAGAGGTTTTTTATTCACATGATCGAGATGACACAAATGATGATGTTAATGTATTGACAGGGTAGCAAACTTTTAAAGGAAGAGCATGCAACAACTCACATTTGTGGGAGAAAACATTAATCCATGAACAGGACCCTCATGTCCACTGAGAACGTCTAACAGCCTCCCAGTCTTCATTGACCAGACAAATATCTAATAGGCAATCAATTAGTAACCTAGTCAGTAAATATTAAAAATGATATAATAAAAACATGAGAATCTAAATACCAATTGTAATGACCTCAAATGAATCCAGCGTTCCAGCACAAATCACTTCACCACTCTGATCTGATGCTAGAGAAACGAATTGCTTAGGTGTAGGGGTTACAAATGTTCTGAAGTTTCGATAGCGAAACAAATCCCACGCACGAACAGTCCCATCCAGTGATGCACTCAAGAGACAATGGTTGCTAGCCATAAAATGTAGTGCAGTGACTGCATTCGTGTGCTCCGAGAATGTCACAAAACAAAACCCAGATGAAACGGTCCACACCTGTGAACATAAGCGGTGAAACTTTCACTTCAGTTTGCAGCAAAGTTGACAAATGAAATCTTAGCCCCCGTTTGATCTACATTATTATCTTATTAAAATGAAAAATATGACCGTTATCCATCACATCAACATTTAAATTCAAATTTTCTATTTCTTATGTGGGCCACAATAACGGCTATATTTTTCATTCTCATTCTACAATAATTTGGCTCAAATATATGTATACTGCTGAGAATTAGAAACCCTATATCACCCAAAGCAATCAATTAGCAGAAAGAAATAAACATACACAAGATTTATAGAAGTTTACCTCAATTTAAGACTACATCCTCCTCCGTCACTACAATAATTCATTATTATGAATAAAGTTTACAAGAAAAATTGCAAACCTATCTTCTCTAACATCTTTTTTTCTCTTTTATGATGGTGATTTAAAAGCCTAATGACAACTTCTTATTTATAAGACAAATTAGGCCAAAATAGAAATTTACAAGTTCTCAAATTCCTAAGATGAAATTTACAAGAACAAAAATCCCTAAACCGACCTTAATGAAATTTTGGGGCTTCCTGCCCCCTTTCCAACCCCCACGGCGACCTCACCGCGGAGGTCTATCAACATACAGCATACTGGCTTCGTGAAGCGGCAATAATTAAGCACTACTACTTAAAATATACTTCTTCTATTGCATGTGTAGAAGGTGTAGATAATCAGTAAACGAGGATATTGATTGAAAGAGTCAATAAAGAAACAAAAAAATACTTTGGATGTATTTAAGCTGCTGAAAGCTTTGGGGAGTCGAGAAAGCCGTAAAACAAGATATCGAATCTATCTACAGAAACTAGAGGGAATATAATGCTAGAGAGATTAACAAGCGCTTTTTACCAAGAAATTAACGAGGGCAAAACACAAGTCAATTAATATTTAGCTGCATACGACTAATCTACAGCTGGACCACTTGATACTTCACAATTAGTAGCTTCTTGGCAAATTGCCCTTTATTTTGCTGGAAAATGAAAAGGAATAACCCTTTACAAGTTCAAAGGTTAATTTTTCAGAGAGGCATATGCAGCACATCCGAAAACTATACTGATGCAAAGAAAAATATGTTCCTTCACTTACCTTGATTTTATTATCATCTGCTCCAGTGGCCAAAAACTGTGAATCTGGAGAATACGCAATGGAGTTTACATCAAAATAATGCCCCTGCTGCTTCAATATATAACTCTCAGATTTCCACTCCCAAACAAGCAGCTGCCCAAGCTTTGCACACCCGAATGTCAGCCAATTCCCAAGGTCATTAAACATTGCAGTTGTAATCTTCTCTCTCGAAATTGACAACAAGTGGATGCACACAAAATCAGGCATCTGATAGAGCCCGAAGACCCCATTCGAAAATCCCACAACCACCATATCAAGCCCCCTATGATAATCACATGTGATTAATTTCGCCGGTGATTGCATGAAAAAATCCTTTTTCAACAATTCCCATTTCATTTTTTGCAATGAAAATGAATCCAAATCATCAAAATTATCATTTTTCCCATCATAATCCTTCCTTTTCAATGAATTACCTACATTTTCACCTTCCCCATCTTCTCCCTGCGTTTGCTCCGGTGTCCCAGGAGACTCGGGCTCTGAATCATTCCTTCCCGTTTTAACATCATTGACGCTATATCCCCAGCTAAATATCGCCCCATCTCGTGATAAAGTATAAACTCTTGTAACCTTGTTAGTCCTCTTATCAACACCGAAAAATGCACCTACAATTGCATCTCTATGGCCCAAAAACAAGAAAGGCTTATTATAGCTCTTTTTCTTTGATTGCTTCAAGTAAAAAAGCCTTACAGTCAAATCTTTAGAGCCAGCGAGTATGAACTCAGAGTCAGGGCTCCAATCCAGCGAAGTAATCCTATCATTACATTCCGCAAATGTTTTTATCAGCTCAAACGGGAAAAATTCCTTCTTGAATCCAGGAGAACGCCATATCTGAAGAAGCTTCCCAGCAGCAACAGCAATGAAATTACCATCCGGGCTGAATTTGACAGTGGAAACAGGGTGCTTAAAGGAGATGCGATGGAGGACGGCACGGCGTGGCAGGTTGATAAAAAGGCATCTGTTGTTCTCGTCAACAGTAAGAAGGAAGACGCCGTCGGGCGATGCGGCGATGCGGCGGAGATTGGTGGAGGACTGGCAAGGGAGTGTTATGGTTTCGGATTTGACGAGGTCGGTGACGGCGACACGGTTACCGATGGGTGAGATTAGCAATGAATTATTGACTACTACAACGTTTCCGCCACGATAGGGGGCACCGAGCAGGTTTTGGAACCTGTAATTCATGGTGAAGTGAGTATGTGAAGAGCACTAGGGTTTCTGTGAGTGGACTACCAGGGTATATTGCTTAAACCCTAAATCAGGAACGTGGTTCGGGCCGAGCTACTGGCTCGAATTTGCATTAGGGTCGCGATTTGGGCCCGGCGTGTAATCTTAGTCCCCTTAAGATTTGAGAAAATTACCATAAACAAG